GCCTACACAGACAGGCAGGACAGTTAGATCACAATTATCTTTTAAAAATTAAATGATGATTGTGTTTTTATGAAATTCTGAAATTTCAGTTGAAAGAGTTTTTAAAACTTGGAGCGCTGCCCCTCAGCAGTGCACGCCGCCTTGGCAGCGAGTGTACTTTCACGCTGAGAACAATGTAGAAAGTAAAATGGTACAAATCACTTTTATGCTGATTCAGATTTTCCCGTTGCCGTGGTGTGAAGACAGTAATAATGGGTGCAGGGGTTTAGGTTGTAGCCGTGTTGGTCTAAGGACATAGGCAGACAGGGTTCCTTGGGTGAATCTGATATCTTTTATTAGACCAGCCCAAATAGTTGGAGAATAGTTCTTAAGCAAGCTTTCAGGTTCAAAAACCCTTCGTCAGGCTAAGGAAGTTTCAGCAGTTGGTGTGTGCTGTTCCTGGATGGGATGAAAATGGGTGACCACTTGTACTTCCAATAATCCAGTGTGATACTAGGGATGGGACATTTTCAAAGACTACAGTGTCCTACCCTGAAAAAAATCGTAAAGTGTATTTAAGCAGTTAGCTCATACACAGTATCTGTGTCTAGCAATCATGTAATGTACCTGTAAATCAATAGGCAAGCTGGTTAAAACTGACCTAGTGATTTGTCATGTTTTTAAAGGAAAGCAGCTGCTTCCTTTATCAAACAGCGTGCACAGTGGAGTGGGACAGTCGGTATGGCAGCCGTATGGAGATACCTCAAACCTGGTCCGTATGAGAAACCAGTCCCTCGGACAGTCTGCCCCCTCTCTGACTGCTGGATTGGTGAGTCTGACAAGATTTTTGTTATTTATTTTGAAAATAACATTGCAAGTGGTTGGATCCTAGACCTTTCTGTTCAGTTACTTGAGCACTTTGTCATGATTAGAACTGGCCAGAAAAGGGAATTGGCTTCCTGTTCAAAACTTCAGTTTTTTTGGAGCTGGAGAGGAGCAGCAGGCAGAGGGGAGGTGTGTCGGAAAAATCTTATTCAGGGGAAGCTCATTTTTCCTTCCTCTCTGGAGCAGTGACTGCCTGTGGGGTCAGGCTGTCCAGGGAAGCTGCTCTCCCAGGAACTGAGGAAATGGTGCATTACGCAGGTGCCTTTTCACCGGCTGTTATCCAGCACTGCAGGGAGCAGGCGACCTCAGGAGTCAGCTGCCTAGGGACATGACCCTGGGCTGGAAAGCGGGTTGATGCCTGGACAATATGATGTCTTATGTGGCTGAAATATTCAGTAGAGTGATGTGTTCCCGCAGAAATTCTCACTTCCATCTGATGAGCATTTTCCTACTGAAAAGCATTCCCCTGGACATTTTTGAAGAGCTGTAGTCAAGATTGCTTATGATACAACCCCTTTTTATTCCCGCTGTTCCTTTCTTTCTTTTAAACATAGTATTTGGCAAAGTAGGTGGAAAGAAAAAAATACAGGACTGGAAAAGAGGTAGATTAAAATTATCCCTAGACTCCCCTACATTGACAAGGTTAAATTTGTAATGTACTTTGGAAGACCTAGCTTTACTTAACTTTATTTCTGTTTCCAGAGATTGCATGGATAATGCGTCTTAGTCACCAGAGAGAATTTAGATGTCCCAGTTAACATTGGCTTTTAGGTCATTGTTTGGCTTGTGCATTGGATTTGGTTGTGAAAAGACTGTTTTTAAAATTAAATACGCTTCCTTTGAATTATATAATATGTAGCACACTGTGGCCACAGAGTGAATATTAAATTGTAGTGAGAGAGCGCCAAATCCTAAACTCAGTTAAAGACTTCCAAGCGAATATGTTACCTCCTCAGCTCTGGGAATGCCAAATTCTGGAAACTGAAATATGAATTACTGTTATAAGTGTCTTAGGACTTTGTTTTAGGAACACCAGACTGTCTGGCACCAGATGGGTTGTTCAAAATGAAATTTAAATCTTTAAAGAATAGAAAATTATGTATTTGCATTACTGGTAATTCTCATTTTAAAATGAAGTATATGCACAGCATAAATAGGCTCAAGCTGCATCTGTTTCTTTATCAGCCTGAAGAAAGAGTACTGTGTGCTCAAAAGCTTATCTGAAATCTCTGTCAATCATGCAGCAGGTCCAGTGAAAGCATTCACCCCCCAAAATAGCTTTCTCTCACATATTGCCTGGACCATCATGGCTACAGCATCACTCTAATACTGCCATAAATAATCTTAGCACTCTCATGTGTGTTAATAATGTCCTGCATACTAATATGATTATGATTAGCTTAATTGTTTGCATCTTAGACATGATTCTTCCAGTGTTTCCATTTTCTGTCTGTTCTTTCTGGGGGTTTGTAACTTGACTGTAACAAAATTAAGGAAACAAGTGCTCTGGTGTGTATCTGGGCACTGAAGTGCTCACTTCAGGAAGATTGAAAAAGCATATTCAATATTTTAAAGTAAATGTTGACTTTTTACAGAAAGTTGCAAATGTGTTTCAGATTGTCATGCACTCATGAAAATACCTTTTTTTGTAAAAACACAAATAAATTTAGGGGTGTCACAGGCAGCCCTGTTGAAAAGGCCTTGCTGAGGGCATTTAGATAACAAGGGAGTATCCCACCAGTAGCTTAAAACCCCCTGAGGAGAGGGCAGAGAGAATAGAAATGAGTAAAGGAGCAACTTGCAGATGAACTGGAATCCATACAAGTCTGCTGTTAGGAAGGGGCCATACTTGTTACTGGTTACTGGTTTGTTTTCCGAGTGCAAGGACTATGCTTTTGTATTTAAAGGTCAGACTGAGAAAGCTGGTCTAGGGAGCAAACCCAGCCTGCAAGGCAACAGGCTCACCAACCCACTTACAGGAGGCATTTCTCGGGCACGGACGTGTATGATCATTCTTGTTCTCTTATCTCTGGAATAATGTACAAGGGGGTTACTTATGGAAAGAAATTGATTTAAAACCATAACTGCATATTCTTTCTTCTGTTTAACTTGGAGCCTTTCAAATCTATCGGAAATGGTTTAGTATTGATTTTATGCTTCATTGGATTCCAGAACAATGTTTGAATAGTTTGTGGCAGGGTGAACACTTAACAAAATGCAGTGAATCCTGGGACTTTGGAACTACTTAGATGTGTGCGGCTGTGTTACTATGTTGTAATATTGAAGGACATTTTACAATTTACAACAGGAAGAAGATAGCAGAACTACTCATATTAGAAGAATAGTTCATAAAAGGATTGGTGGGTAAAGTAGTGTAGCACATAATTTTAATGCCTGCATTGATTCGTAAGAGTTTAAACTTTTGTAGTGGCTTTTATGCCACTTAGAACTGTTCAGTATTTGCACCATGGAATAGATCAATAGGAAGAGAGGATGGTAATTTCATAAACACTATGTGTGGTTATTCAGGTGTTTATTTCTGCTGCTATGTATTGAACGGGGTGGACTAATGGGTTTTGCTGGAATAGAATTTCTTGGGTGATCATTGACATCCAAGATTTTTCTTTTTCCTGGCTAGCTATAACCCTACAGCAGTGATTTTCACCTAGGTTACCTTGAGATCCTTTCAAGAGTGTTATTGGGGTGCTGCACAGTGTTAGCACTGTTAGGTGTGCTAACGTGATTCACAAGAGAAACCCAAAGATTCTGACCCGTCACGATCCTCCCGAGTCCTTTTCAACAGAAGAATTGTGGTATTATTTTTCTGTAGTCAAAAAGGAGTGAAAACTAAGAGCTAGCACTTTCCAAAAGGTGCCTTAAGATTATTGAGGGGTACATTGAGACTGTTGAGGAGTGCCTTGATTCTAGATAGGTTGAGAACCACTGTCCTAAAGGTTGGCTTCTGTTCTTCAGCTGCATTTTCTTAGATTTTAAGCATGTTTGTTGAATAAACTGGTAAAGCAGCCTTAATAAATCCACGGACACTAGAGCATACTAGGTTGCCAGATGCTACACTACAAGAACCCAATTTATGGGTAGATTTTCCTGCGTTTCAGTATGTGGCAGTTCAGCTCAGTGAGTATCAGGACACATAGGATTCTCCACTTGGGAGGAAAAGGTCTATAGAGATGATACTCGGCACTCTCCTGCCATGGGGGGATAAGCATTGGCAAGTGCCATTCAAGCTTGTAGTAGTATGTGACCCTCTTCTCTTGAATCATTTTATCCTCTCCACCAGCAAGGTGGCCAGCTCTGGTCACGTTGGAGTGACTGTAACCGATGAAGATCCTGTCACTTTATTTAGTAAGTACACATTTTAAAGGAGGTTTCTGAATGTGAGGGGACATAAGATTAGCGTATTGAAAACAACTAAAAATCTAGAGAAGATGCATCTGGAGCTCCTGTTTTTTCTTTCTTACAAGAAACAAGGAAGAAACGATTTCATTCAGTGGAACCCAGTGAGTGAAACTGGGTGTTGCAAGGGGGTACTGGATACCTATCGGAATAGGAGACCATCCTAAATTGTTATAGGTAAGATCAGAAAAAGAGCAGAGAGTAGGAATAAATGTAAAAACCTCATGCTTACTCGTGCTAGAAATTGGCTTAAACCTGTGAAGATGAGACTTTCTGTCCTCATCTGTGCCTGCTGCTGGATTTCTGGCTCCTTCTTCCAATGCATCTGGTACTGGCTACTGTCAAAGAAGAGGTACTGAAAGTGGACAACCAGAATAATGCCAAAGGTGAGAAGCGTGGATGCCAGGCAGTCTCAGGCTTTCAAGTCTTGTCTGCGTATCCCTTTGCAAAAAAGTTTCTGAAAGTGAATTTCAGAATTCTGAAATTTTAACCTCATTTGGTAAATGAACGGGATCACATAATTCAGGATTCAGGCATTTGGGGTAAAATGGAGCTCCTTAACAGGGCCATGAGAACTTTCTATCTTTTCTGGATATCAGTTATTGAAAGCCTTCCAGAATAAGAATACAGTCTCTGGAGTAGGCATGCTAGAAGGGAGGAACAGGCTGCAATCGGATCTGGACAGGTTACAGGGGTGGGCGGATGAGAATAAGATGGGATTGAATACTGACAAGTGCAGGGTGCTGCACCTAGGGAGGAAGGACCAGCAGCACACCTACAGGCTGGGGAACTCCCTTCCTGTCAGCACAGAGACAGAAAAGGATCTGGGAGTCATTATTGATGCCAAAATGAACATGGGCCGACAGTGTGGGGACGCGGTCAGGAAGGCCAACCGCACCTTGTCGTGCATCCACAGATATATCTCGAGCAGGTCCAAGGAGGTGATCCTCCCCCTCTATGCGGCACTGGTCAGGCCGCAGCTGGAGTACTGCGTCCAGTTCTGGGCGCCGCACTTCAGGAGGGATGTGGACAGCATGGAGAGGGTCCAGAGGAGGGCCGCCCGCAGGATCCGGGGACAGCAGGGCAGACCCTACGAGGAGAGGCTACAGGACGTGACCCTGTTCAGCCTCCACAAGAGAAGGCTGAGGGGATCTGGTGGCCATTTACAAGCTGGTCAGTGGGGATCAGCAGACATTGGGAGAGCCCGTGTTCCCCCGAGCGCTACTGGGAGTAACAAGGAATAACGGCCATAAGTTGACGGAGAGCAGATTCAGGCTAGATATCAGGAGGCGCTAGTTCACTGTCAGGGTGGCTGGGATCTGGAACCAATTTCCAAGGGAAGTGGTGCTGGCTCCTACCCTGGGGGGGGTCTTCAAAAGGAGGCTAGATAGACACCTTGCCGGGGTCATTTGATTCCAGCATCCTTTCCTGCCCAGGGCAGGGGGTCAGACTTGATGATCTGCTCAGGTCCCATGCGACCCGACCAACTATGAAACTATGAATACTCTTACATTAACATCGTCTCTCTAA